GAAGAAGATGGTTTTCTCAGCATCTTATTATGAGTTGCGTGTCTAAGCTGTATTCGAGAGTCAAGTGCTTACCAAGGTATCCGGATGGTTGCGGTCAAGGCTGACGTCCTTTATAGTATCCGGCCACTGTTTTCGTTTCTCGAAAAATAACTTCAACATTCCTTTGTGTGTCGCACCGAAGAAGTGTTGAAGGGTTCGTGGTCCTTCTGGATTAAACTCCCACATACGGAGGGGTCGTCTTTGTCATGGGAGGACCCGGCGGACTAGCATTACTTGAATCACGTCGATGAGTTCGGTGTTCTTCTCAAGGAGACTCCGGATGCGGCTCTGTAGAGTCTGCACTTCATCGGTTGATCCCTAGTCCAACCCCTTATTGACCCATGATGCGAGCTGAATTGGAGGGCCAGATTGGAACGCGGGTATAGCTGCCCACTTGGTGCCACGGGGTTCAGTGATGTAAAACTACTCCTGTTGCCATAAGTCGAAAGATTCCGTGAAGGATCCTTTTAGCTAGGGAGCGTTGATAAGTTTGTCCACTGTAGCACCACTGCACTCTGCTCGTACCCTGTTGACTACCTTCGGCTTCACATTAAAGGTCTTAAGCCGAAGTGTGGGGGAATACGGAGAAAAGCCTCGCAGGTGATAATGAACGCCAAGATGTGAAGGAAGGAGTCCGGAGTTAGATCGTGAAAATCTAGCCCGTAATAGAACATAAGCCCTCGAACAAAGGGGTGGAGGGCAAACCCTAGCCCTCAGAGGAAGTGGGAGATGAATACGACCCTCTCGTTGGATCTGGGAGTAGGAATAACCTGCCCTTGAGCAGGAAGCCTGTGGGGGATTTCCGCGGTCAGGTATCTGGCCGCCCGGAGCTTCACGATGTCCTCCTCTGTGATGGAGGAAGGCACCCACCGACCTTGAGGACTGGGGCTGGCCATGACTGGGAAGCTTGAAACAATCGAAACTTTGGGCGCTGGAGCTCGAGGTTGGAGAGGATGACGAAAGGGTTGGCGTAAAGAAGCCAGACGGGTCGTAGTCCCTTTATAAAGGTAATAACTATCGAACGCCTACTCTTCGACCTTGAAACCTGCCTATTCTTAAGGAATCATGCCAACCGGACGGTTGGAATACCCACGTCCGTGTTGATGAGGATCCCGCAATAAGGGGACACGATCTCTGCTTCGACAAGACGTGCCAATGAAACCGCGTCTCGGAACATGATATCACGTCACAGAAAAATTGTTAGCGGATTGGACTTGCAAAATATTATTTCCTCAGCGATGGTGTGTGGTATTTGTTTTGTAGAGCCGGACACGTTCGTTGCGTCCGAAGACTGTGTTGGAGTGTTCGGAGAAGGAACCCGCCTTGCAATGCAGAAGAAAATTTACGCGCGGGACACCTCGTCATTGAAGCCTGGTTCAGGGGCTTCCGAGGGAGTCCTGGATTAGGGGGTCCTCGGGCGTCCGGACTATGGTACGTGGGCCGGACTGATGGACTGTGAAGATGCACGACCGAAGACTCTCACCCGTGTCCGGATGGGACTCTGAAGGCAAGCTTGGCGTCCCAGTATGAAGATTTCTTTCTCTGTAACCGACTTTGTACAACCCTAGTCCCCCCCGGTGTCTATATAAACCGGAGGGCTTAGTCCGTAGAGACAGGGAACCATAATCATAATCAGATAGGCTAGACTTCTAGGGGTTTAGCCATTACATCTCGAGGTAGATCAACTTTTGTAACCCCCATACTCATCAATATTAATCTAGCAGGACGTAGGGTTTTACCTCCATCGAGAGGGCCTGAACCTGGGTAAACATTGTGTTCCCTGTCTCCTGTTACCATCAACCTCAGACGCACAGTTTCGGACCCCCTACCCGAGATCCGCCGGTTTTGACACCGACACCCTCCTCGGCCCCTGAGCCGTTCAGCCTGATTTGGGACATCCACCTTCCACTGAATATCCGGATCTTCTTGTGCAAGTGGATTCGTGGCCGCCTCCCTTTTGGGGTTGAGGTCCTCAAGCGCAATGGCCCGGGAGATGGGATGTGTCCCCTGTGTGGAACGGCGGAGGACGTGAACCACATTTTCTTCTCTTGCGTTACGGCCCAATTCCTGTGGACGTGCTTCCGCGATACGGTCGGTGGTCGTTGGTGTAACACCAACTTCCCGGACTTGCTAGCGGAAATTAACGCTTCCGCCCCCCGCCACCGCCACATTAGGTGGTTGTGCGTTGGGGTGCTCGCATGGACGCTTTGGACCATCCGCAATAAACTTGTCATACAAAGAACACCTCTTCGACGTGCAACTGACGTGATCTTCAAACTGTGTGGTTACATGCAGCTCTGGCGGCCGCTTAGCCTCCCCCAGAATCGAGACGCCATCGACACCCTCATCGCCGACCTTCATGCGATGGCCTTCCGAGTGGCGCCACCTCTTCCGCCCCCACCCCCGGAGCCCGACTAGGCCCGTGGCCTCACTGAGGAGCTGGATCCGTGACTCGCTCCTTGGGACCTTGCATGTTGTGCCTTGTGCTTTTTCTGCTTTCAGGGCTTGTTGAGCTGTGCCCTCAGCATTAACCCTTTTTCTGTACTCTTGTCTATGTTGACTCTTCGCGCGTGTGTGGTATGAACCTTGTTGGATGATTGGTTCGAGCGGTTTGTTTTATATATAAGACGGGGCGAAAGTCTTTTTTTGATACAATATATTTTATTACCTCCTTCATATTATGTCGCAGGTTTAAGATAAGACAGCACTGAAAATTGCAATTATTTTCCTTTTTTGGGGATACAATTCATGTGCGTAGTCGTGAGCTAGCAAGGTAACGATCGAGCACCGACGAAAACAAAATGGGTGGTAGGTCCGAGTTGCAACTTGCAAGCCTAACACCTTACATTAGGTCCCTCGTCGTCGTCCGTTCCAGAAAGAAACAATCATCACGTATGTTTCCAAAGAAAAAAAAAACTCTCATACACACGACCCTCGCTGATGTACGCAGGTGAAAGGTTACGGCCGGCCGGCCGGCCGGCGTGTCGCGCACGGGCTCTGCGGTGTGTACGTATCGAGGCGGTGGTTGCCGCGTCGCCGGCGAGGGGGGCCACCCGAGCGTCGCGGTCTCGACTCTCGACCTCTCCTCAGGGGCGGTCAGAGTCTCCCGTAGGTTACGCCGTCCCTTTCCGATCACGTATCTGGGAAGCCGCGGAGGCGTAGCAGGATCCTGCGATGCGCCCGTCTGTCGGTGCTCTTGCTTCGCGGCGGGAAAGAACGTAGCATCAACCGAGCATGACAGGTGGGCCCTGGGAGGAGGATTCATGTCCCCACGTGGCGGCAGCCCGGCAGCCGAGAGGACGGTACGGATTTGCCCCCACGCGCACTCGCTGGCCTATTCTCGCTCCTTTCCACGCGACGTTAGGGGCGCGGGTAAAAACTCTCTTTTTTTTTCATTTCTAGCGTCGAGGTATGCGAGGCCGGGTTAATTATTTGTCAATCGTGAGTGAGCTTTCTGCTGACACGTTGATTAGGAGGATGAACTCCAACATACTGTTGCACGTGTTTTGCGCGCTGGGCACAGCTGCATGCCCGCGAGGCGCACGCTTTGTTTGGTCTTCTTCCGGGGTGTTCGCCCCTCACCATATTCTCGGGGTGGGGCCGGGCGACCGAGCCAGCTTAGTGCTAGCGAAACATGGTTAAATGAACGGCCGCGGTGCAGCATTTTGCGTTATTGTCTACTACACTGTAGCTGGTTGCCAGCGGCCAAAGCCACGTACTGATGGTAGTAGAGTATCTGGTAGGCAGGCACATGTGCATGCAGCATACTCAGGTCGCATGGGACATGCACGCATGCACACCATGCAATTGGATTACAGCCTGACGGAACGAACCGATCAGGTCAGGTCTACTGTACTGTGCGCATGCACACCAAGGGCAAGTGTTCCAGGTTCCATCATAGCAGGGACAATTAGTATACAATCAGATCATGCAAACAAGTGTGAATGTCCCAACTTCCAAGCCATGCATGATTGGCGAATGAGCGATGCTCCTCCCGCTGGCACCTCCCAGAGACCGACACTTGGGCTGGATCTACACCCACGTACGTACTCCCACGTACACTCCAAGATTCACAAGGAGAAAAGACTTTACAATGGTGTGCACATGAAGCATGCATATACCGATCCTTGGTGCCCTATGAAAAAAATATGTATATTCAATTGAAATCTGGTAGGTAGGAGGAGAACGAATAGGAGCGGTGAGGTGGCGAGCTCCATCGCCTCAAGAAAGCCAACAAAGAGGCGGCTGGCCTGGCTTTGCTTGGAGGCGAAGGCCGGCAACGACGGCGAGGAGGAGGAGCAGATGAGGAGATCCATCGATGGATGGAGCCGTCCAGAGCAAGCCAATTGCAACCAACCACCAACCCGAGCCACCCACCCGAACCCCTCACCAACCCGGAGCGGACGCGTCCATCGACCAAGCGTACGCACACAGAAACGCGCCACCTCAACCGCCCAGCCCGCGCGCGAGTACCACCTCCTGTCCGGTCCTGCGCACCCAGCCCAGCCGTACGATCAATGACACTCATCACAGGGTGAAAACCTGGGTATCCGTAATTTCCAGGCCAATTTACAGCGAGATCAGGTGCAAATGTGCAATTGCCAGATCTTGCCCCACACCAACAGCTGTTTTATTGCATGTTGCTCGCTTGCTTCGTTTTTGTTTATCACTATAAATATTTCTCTGCTCCCCCTGCCACGCCCCGCCCTGTCTCTTACTATTAGTTGTACCCTGTCCCTCCCTCCCACACAACCTGACACCCACTTGCTTCTTCTTCCTCCCCCTCCTCCCGATTTCTCGAATTGGGCTCGCAATTTTGGTTCCTTGTATTAGCCTCTTCCTGCACATAGAGAGAGCATCGATAGCAAGCTGATTAGGCTAGGTAGATAGATTAGCTAGCCTCTGCTGCGGCTCTGACCAGAGAAGTATACAAGCTTGATTGGGAGGAGATCGAAGCCAAGATGATGCGCGGGAAGGACCAGCGGCCCGCGGCATTCTCCCCGATGAGGGAGTCGGTGGCGGCGGCGGTGCAGGAGGAGGTGTGGGAGGTCCGGCCCAGCGGCATGCTGGTGCAGAAGCGCACCCCGGACTCGGACCCGCCCCCCGGCGGCGCGCCCGTCCCCACCATCCGCGTCAAGGTCAAGTACGCCGGCGTGTACCACGAGGTGTACATCAACTCCCAGGCCTCCTTCGGGGAGCTCAAGAAGCTCATGTCAGAGAAGACGGGGCTGCACCCGGACGACCAGAAGGTGGTGTACAAGGACAGGGAGCGCGACTCCAAGGCCTTCCTCGACATGGTCGGCGTCAAGGACCGCTCCAAGATGACGCTGCTCGAGGACCCCACCGCCCAGGCCAAGCGCCTCATCGAAGAGCGCCGGAATGCCAAGGCCCAGCGCGCCGCCAAGGCCATCTCGCGCGTCAGCCTCGACGTCGACAAGCTCGCCTCCAAGGTAACCTTCTTTTCTTTACCGCTAGCTCCTCCTCCATATTTGTTGATATTCATGGATGGCCGGCGCTTCCGTTCCATGGGCTGTTGAGTTGATATGGCTTGGCGTGCGCGCGTGGCAGGTGTCGGCGCTGGAGACGATCGTTAGCAAGGGCGGCAAGGTGGTGGAGGCCGATCTGGTCACGCTCACCGAGGCGCTCATGAGCGAGCTGCTCAAGCTGGACGCCATCGTCGCCGAGGGCGACGTCAAGGACCAGCGCCGGATCCAGGAGAAGCGGGTGCAGAAGAACGTGGAGACGCTGGACGCCATCCGCGCCAAGATGACCAAGAAAAACAGTACACCTGCTGCAACGGCCAATAAGGCCCGGGCGCCGCACCTGCCCCCTCGTCCGCCGCCGGCGCAGCAGCACCAGCAGCGCCGGCAGTTCCAGCCCGCTGCGCCCACCACGGCGACCGCCCCCGCGCCGCAGACCGCGACGGCGAGCTGGGATACGTTCGACCTGCTGTCCTCCACGCCCTCTTCTTCCTCACCGGCGCCGGTGTCCACCATGGCGCTGGTGACCACCACCTCGCCATCCCCGAGGTTCGAGTGGGAGCTCTTCTAGAGGTTGGGACAGGCCCGCCCACCAGCCACATGCGTGTACACGTTCATCAGCCTCATCTCGGTCATGGCGCGCATCAACTGTCACATTGTTCCCTTCTTCTCTCTCTCTCTCTCTCTCCATTCTTTCCTTCCATCTTTGTTTTTTCTCTTTCGAGTGTATATTGATCTCCTCAAAAAAGGCAACAGCTCCAGTGATATGATTGTGCCCAGCGACTCCCAAATCCACACGAAGATACACACACACACCCATGATCTCTAGGCATGCATGCATCGGGTGTGCTGTGCTGCAAATAAGTGGTGGCCTTATGTTGATGAAGGAATTTCCACGGCAAATTTGTGTATAGTATTGTACAGTGTACTACATCAAATCATCAATTACCATTATATGTGCCTGTCTTATACGTGAGGGATGTACTTGTACTATGATCCATCGATCCAACATTGTACAAACAAATGCTAGCTGGTGTATTGATTCAAGAGGGAAAATGATGATGGGGATTGATTAATTGCAGGTGCAAATGCAGCACTGATTGACCAATCGGGTTGCAATTATTTAGGCATCTGCCAGGGCAGGGTAGTTAGCTTTGTCTCTTCAAAAGGTTCCATTCACTACTACACTAGTGGTGGCTTTGTTTGTCCATCCCTTAATGTAGGATAGTACCTTTTCTTCACCTCTGGCTTCCTCCCCCTTTCTTCCATGCGGATGCGGTGTCCTCTAGTATATGCTGAATTTGTCGTGTCGGCATGACAGGCATCATTAGCTGTTGGGAACTCAGGGCTGAGGAGATATACATATATTTGCGTGCTTGGTATAAGCTTGAAGCTTCCATGCATGCTTTCCATGCATGTGGTTGCTAGGTCAGTGCGTGTTAGCTGTGATTGAATGGTACGGCAAAAACAACAATACTCATAGTATTACTACTATTATTACAGGCTGATTCCTTACAATGATCTTCTGGTATTAATGACCTGATCATTACATACCTTCATTCTGTTCCATGCTAACGATTGTAAGAGTCTGTTCACTGGAACTAGTACTAGAAGATGACCTACTTTGGGCACTAAGAAGGTAGTAGTAGGAACAAACAACGGCCTGAAGAGAAAGAAACTTAGTAGGAAGAACAGCCTTAAAAGAGAAATGGAAGATTTATAAACATCCGTGTTAACTGCTACGGCAAGATCGCAGCCATCATTCAGATATACTACTACTACTATGAACACTTGTCTTATTTTAGGACAATTTGTTTGGGGTCGCGTGCAGTGTGCAGAGCATCTGCATCACAAGTGGTTGGTAGTTTCAGAGTCTGCTTCTTCCTTGCACACAAAGAATCAATGGAAGAAAGAAAATAGAAATAAAATCCAAGCAAATGCGGGCAAGTAGGAGTATGTTGGAAGAGCAGGAATAGCAGTCTAGGAGCGCACCCATGAAGTATAGTAGCTTAATTATTGGCCAGATGCAAATGAGCTGTATTTGTTCCATGCACGCGGCTAGCTGTTTTTCACCTATCAATTCAGCACCGGTGCATGGTCGCCGTCGACGGCGACGGCGACGGCGACAAGGGCCGGCACAAGGCAATTTGACATGAGTTCGTTCGCTACAAGCCTCCGTCCTTTTTCCTTGCCTTGCACATCTCGTAGCTTGTACAGAAACAGATGGGGTGAGAGATCATCTCTTGGTGAGCGCACGGATTCACGTGTACAGCTGCACATATTTTGCAGTTAGAACTGAGGCGTCGCCCTGTCGGTAGCGCCTCAACAGCTCGTTAGGTGCAAAGCCAGGCGTGCGGTGTGAGTTTGGTCGACCTGTGGAGGAAGGAAACGTTGCATTGACTTGTTATTTAAGCTGCTGCTGCTGCTGGTCTTTCCTTTCCTCGCGGCCCTCTGTCACTCAGACGCCGACCTTACGTGTGCGGGACTGCATGCAGATACCTAAAAGTCGAAGAGGTATTCTTCACGAGCAAAAAAACCTACTAGTGCCAGTGCTAAGTACTGTATGGTCAATACCATTAGGAGTGTGCATCTGTACGCGTTGCAGCACGCATGTGCCGCTTTCCCCGTTAATAGGACACGTTTGGGGTCGTACATATATCGAGTGCTGGACTGCTGGATCGTGGACTTTGTTTTGCTACTCCATGGATCCACGGCCGTGGCCTCTAGGAGATAGATCGGTGATTAACAATGGCCTTCTTGAGTTGGTGCCAGAGTAGTTGACTTTGCGCAGCCAAACGGGGGCGATCATGTGTCCACCGATCCCGACATATTCTTCCCAAGTGCGAAGGCCTCACAGCATGTACAATGATCGATAAAGTTGTCTTATCTTATAGTCATCGTGTGACAAGACATAAAAAGTGATGTACAATAGGTTATTCTTAGTCTTGTCTTCAATAACTAGATATCCCTAAATATGTGGTGAGTGTTAGAGTTATATTGATTATGACTTTTGCCTTTTTGTATTCTTGCCTTTTGGCATCCTCATGTGATGGCTTTCGCCTCCTAGTAACACAAGTTGCTTTCATAACATGATATCAGAGCTTCAGATATCTTTTTTTCCACACACGCAACTCGTGCTGATGCATTTGGCTGTTGCATGATCATTCCGCTATTGCCTTTTCAACACACACACACACACACACAAACACACACACACACACACACACACACACACACACACACACACACAAGTATGATGTTTCCATCGGGCCTGCGTCTTCGTCGCTACCCGCGGACTTTTGAAGGTGTTCCCTATATTGATTCTATATCGCACATACACCATCGCTCGGTGCTTGGTGCTCATCCGTCTACGACGTTGTCCCCTCCGGTGTCTTCAACAGGCTGTGCTAGTCGCTGTTCATCGACTCTTCTCGCGGCTTCTGCCCGCGGCGGTGACCGCTCTATGCCGACTCCTCTCGCGACTTCCACGCGCGGCGGTGACCGCTCTACGTCGACTCCTCTTGTGGCTTCTGCGCGCGGCGATGACCGCTCTACGTCGACTCCTCTCGTGGCTTCCGGGCGCGGCGGTGATCGCTCTACCTCGACTGCTCTCACGGCTTCCGCGCGCAGCGGTGACTGCTCTGCGCCGACTTCCCTGGTGGCTTCCACGTGCGGCTCTACGTCGACCTCTTTCGTCGTGTCCCTATCTGTGCGTGAGATTACGCAGCTGCGATGCCTGCTTGCTGCTTGGGATTCTTCACCGACAGGTTCTGCAGGTTCCGTCACTGACTCTTCTGGCACCAAGAAACCATTTTCTACTCATTCAGGTACATCCCCATGGATTCTTGATACTGGAGCATCTTTTCATATGACTTATGATTCTTCCACTTTGACCTCCGTTCGACCTATCGAGTCTCCTGTTCACATTCTTACTGTTCATGTCACTCCCCTCACTGTAGCTAGTCGAGGCACTCTTAGCACTTCTTCATTTCATGTTCCCTCTGTCGCTCATGTTCCTTGACTTACCATGCAGCTCATATCTGGTGGTCACATTGTTGACTCTAGTTGTAGGGTCATTCTCGACTATGATTCATGTTCTGTTCAAGATCATCGCGCGAGCGCTCTGCTTGGTGCTGGCCCTCGACGCTCTGATGGTCTCCGGGAGCTTGAGTGGCTTCGTCTTCCCTCTGCTGCCACCATCGCCAGTCTCACAACCCCTATTGCTGCATTTACCAGCTCTTTTCAGCAGTGGCATCATCGTCTTGGCCATTTATGTGGTTCTTGTCTCTCGTCTTTGGTTCATCGTGGTGTTCTGGGGTCTGTCTCCGGCAATGCTTCGTTGGATTGTCTGGGTTGTAGGCTTGGTAAGCAGCTTCAGCTACCCTACCCTCATAGTGAGTTAGTGTCTGAGCGTCCTTTTGATCTCGTTCACTCTGATGTTTGGGGTCCGGATCCCTTTGCTTCGAAAGGGGGTCATCGCTACTATATTATATTTATAGACGATTTTTCTCGGTACACTTGGATCTATTTCATGTCTTCTCGTATTGAGGTCTTATCTATATACAAAAAATTTCCTGCCATGGTTCATACCCAGTTTTCCACTCCTAATCGTGTTTTTCGCACAGATTCAGCTGGTGAGTATATCTCCCATGCGCTGCGCGGATTTCTTGCTGACCAGGGTACTCTTACTCATTTCTCTTGCGCTGGCTCTCATGCTCAAAATGGTGTGGCCGAGCGCAAGCATCGTCACCTTCTTGAGACGACGCGTGCAATGATGATCACCACATCTCTTCTGCCTCACTGCTGGGCTGAGGCTATTACTACTTCCACCTATCTCATCAACATTCAACCATCTGCTGCTCTACAGGGTGGTATTCCTCTCAAGCGTCTTTTTGGCCGTTCTCCTGATTATTCGGTGCTTCGTTTGCTTGGTTGCGTTTGCTATGTTTTTCTTGCCCCTCGTGAACGCACCAAACTAACCGCTCAGTCTATTGAGTGTGTCTTTCTCGGATACAGTGACGAGCATAAGGGCTATCGGTGTTGGGATCATGTCGGTCGCTGGATGCGTATTTCTCGGGATGTGACCTTTGAGGAATCTCGTCTGTTCTACCCATGCCCATCCTCCTCGGCCTTTTCCACGAAGGACATCTCATTTCTTATGTTTCCGGATACACTTCCTTCTGTGCCCGGTATTCCTACTCCTCGTCCCGCTGTTGCAGATCCATCGTCGTCCTCTCCTACGGTTTCTTCTCCTTCCTCATCGCATGGATATCCACCTTCATCACCGACACCTACCCCTTCTCCATCTTCATCACTGATACATTCCTCGTCTCCCCCTCCAGTGATTCGACCTCTTCTGTCCTTTCTGTTTCATTATACTCGGCGTTCATGTGTTGTGAATGAATCTACTAACGACCCTCTACTTCTGGTGGGCCATCTTCCTCCTCTCACCCGACTTATAGTCATCTTCTTCGTGTTCTATGATATCTTTGTGGCACGATCTCTCATCGTCTCTTTTCCCCCGTTCCAGCTCCTTGGAGCTCCAGGCCTATTCAGATGCTACGTGGGCTA